GGGCACAGGCAGATCCTGGCCAAGGTCATGGTGAAGGTCGCCATGGTGACGGGGTGGAAGTCCAGGATCTTGGGGTAGATGTCCAGCGGGGACAGCGTCCCAGACGTGAGGATGACTGACTGGAAACGCTCAAACACGGGCTTGATGGCCAGAGAGGCGTCCATGCAGCTGAAGTGCAGTCGGGGAAGTGAGAAGCTCAAACACGGGCTTGATGGCCAGAGAGGCGTCCATGCAGCTGAAGTGCAGCACCGGGTTGGCAATGGTGGGGGTCCTGTCATCAAAGGGCTCGATGATGATGGTGAAACCTGCCGGGATGGAGAAGTGGCCCGAGATACGCCCACTCCAGCCACACCCAAACTCACCATCCAGCTCCTACTCAGACATGCAGCCCCCCAAATCAGCCACACACACCCCACAGCAAATGGGCCCAAGCCAGGGAGCAGGCATCTCGTTCCAGAACAGACGTTCACGGGGGACCCCAAGCACGAAGCATCCACAGTTCCTCAGACTCCCCGGGAGCCAAAGCTGGACACTCGTGGCTCGACCTTTCTATCTCCCAGCAAGCCACCTACCCTCTCCACGCCCACGGCTCTCACGCCCCGGGTGCCTTCCATCATGCCCCGCATCCCAGGGTGCCCTCCCTCATGCGTGACCCACAGTGTGTCCTCTATCCCCTCCCATCTGGACCAACATGGTCTCTGCACCAGCTCCATCCCTGCATCCTTCATTGACTTCCCACGCACCAGCCCAAGGTGCCTGTGGTCCCGAGTCAGACCACTTCCATCCCTACTCGGCACTTTCCTGTGGTCCCCACAGTCCTCCCATGATCTGGAATTACCTGTGAGACCCAGCCATGCTGGGCCAGCCTTTGCACTTGCTGGCCCCACTACCTGCAAAGCCTCCCAAGACAGTGGCCATTTGGGATGTGACTCAAACGTCAATGCCCTGGAGGCCTTCCCCAGCGACCTCGTCCATGGCGGGAGCCTGTGTCAAACACACTCGGCTCAGCAATACTTAGGACTTGTCTGTGACATTTAATCTGGTTTCTACTGCCTCCTCAATGCTGGGCCTGCACCAACAACAAACGACTGAATTCACAAATTCAGCCAGTGTCTGGTAGCCAGAGGAGCTGCAGACGTGAGACCTCAGCCCTGCTGCCCTCCTGGTCTACTGTTCAGTGGCAGAGATGAGAAGGAGGGGCTGGACTGGGCTCTGGAATCAGGGCAAGCTTCCTGGAGGAGAAGCCATCATTACTGAATTGAGGACTGAAAGGTGAAAGGAGGCAGCTGTGAACAAGGAAGACGAGAAAGGATGTTCCAAGTCAAAGAATGTGATGTCTTTGTGGAAAGGAAGTGAAGACAGGACAGAGAGAAAGGCAGAGAAGGAAGACGATGCAGGATGGACAGACGGATGGGCGTAAAGGCCCAGCAGGACCGGCAGCCGATTGGCCCTGGGGACGGGGAAATGGAGACTCTACCCTCCCCTGAAGCCGCCCAGCCACGGGAATCACATGGTCTGACCTGGTTCCCAGCATAGAACAGTAATCCCAGGGTATCAGCCTGGCCCTCCACCAGCTTAAGGCTGAGGAAGGCTGGGAATGCCGGCAAAGCCCCTGGAGGCCTGAGCCTTTCCTCCCCCTCCTCCACACCTGGGGCCCCAGCCCAGCCTTTCGCCCCCACATCTCTCTCCACACCCGCCCTTTCTTTACGTCCCCACAGCCTATTCTGGCCCAGATCCCTCCTCTCACGCCCGAGTGTCTCCACATTTGGCCCTGGGCCTCCCCTGTCCAGACCCTGCCGTGGACCTCCCAGGGTCCACACGAGCAGAACGACCAAGTTACTACATGGTGACCCCAGAAGGGACATGGAAGTCTTAACCCCTGACACTTGGAAAGGTGATCTTCTTTGGAAAAAGGGTCTTGGCAGAGGCAATCCAGTTAAGACAGGGTCACAATGCCAGCTGAGACTAGAGGATTCCCCAAGACTACTGTTCTGAGCGGAAGCTAGCCCCTGAAGTCACCTTGTAGCTAAACACCAGGCTGGTTCACAAAATGCCATTACCGATGAGCACTGTGGCCCCTTTACCAAAGAGTTCATGCCTATGAGACCAGTCAGCAATTATTTTAAAACAAAGATGAAAGGACAGGAGACGGGGAGACAAGATTAAGCAAAATGGAACAACCAGAATAGAAATGAGTCTTCACAGAAAAAAAAAAAAAATGTAACCAATGTCCTTGAACAGATTGTGCAGAAGTTACTGAAAGGGAACCTGATCCAGACTCAGGACAATCTCGTAAGTGTCAGAGCAGAACTGTACTCCTCACAGTTTCCAATGTCATTATTTTTGAGAAACAGATCACCAGGCCTTTCTTTGGAGGTACCTCTGGGTGGACTGAAACATCTAATCCTTTGGCCAGCAGCCAAGCATGTTAACCATCTGTACCCTTCAAGGAATCCCATACTGGATCTTGGTGGTTCTGAATGTAATGGTCAGTGTCTTTATAAAAGGAGATATTTGCAAAATGTTTGTTCCCAGTCGACAGGTTTTCCTTTCACTCTACTGGAAAAAAGTTTTGATGCACACAGGGATTTAATCTTTAGAAGCTCCCATCCGTCAGTTTTATCCTCTTTAGATCGTATATTTCTGGCTGTCTTTGGCAATCTCTTTATCCCGTCAACTAGGGCTTCTAAGCTTGATCCCGGTTTGTCTCTTATGAACTTTATGGTTTTGGGCTTTACTCCCACCTTGATTTTTATGTATGGTATGAGATGTGGATCCTGTTTCAGCTTTCAACAGTCCAGTTCTACCAGTACCATTTGTTGAGGCTGTCGTTTCCCCATTTGATAGGTTTTATTTCCTTGTCGACTATCAACTGACCTTAGATAGCTGGGTCTATTTCTGGGTTCTCAATTCTGTTCCATTGGTCTATGTGCCTGCCATTGTACCAGCACCATGCTGTTTGGGTTACTACTATTGTGTTTTGAGGTCAGGGAGTGCTATGTCTCTCACTTCATTTTTGTTTTTCAGAAGTGTTTTGCTTTTTCAGGGTCTCTTGCCTTTCTAAATAAACTTGACAATTTCCCTTTTGATCTCTTTGAAAAATGAATTTGGCATCTGTATTGGGACTGTGTTGAACATGTAGATAGCTTTTGGTAGAACTGTCATTTTCACAATATTGAGTCTTCTTATCCAAAAACAGGGCACATTTTTCCACTTCTTTAGGTCTTTTATTGTGTCTTGCAGAACTCATAATGAAAGTTTATAAATTCTCCTGGGCCTCCACAAGAAAAAGACTGATAACCCAATTATAAAACTGGCAAAAGACATGAAAAGAATTTTCACAGAGGAAGATACTCAAATGGCCAACAGATACATGAAATGCTCTAAATCACTGGCAATAAGAGAGGTGCAAATCAAAACCACAATGAGATACCATCTCACTCCAGTAGCACTGGCAAAGTTTAACAGGACAGCAAGTAATAAATGTTGGAGAGGATGCTGTAAGAAAGGAACTCTTATACACTGTTGGTGGGATTGTAAAATGGTACAACCACTCTGGAAGGCAGTTTGGCGCTTCCTCAAAAAGCTGAACATAGACATTCCATATGACCCAGCTATTTCATTGCTTGGAATATAACCTGAGAAAATGAGAACTGAAGCACAAACAGAGATTTGTACACCAATGTTCATAGCAACGTTATTCATCAATCCAAGAACATGGAAACAGCTCAGATGCCCAACCACAAACAAATGGGTTGGGAAATTGTGGTACATTCACACGATGGAATACTGCACAGCACGCAGGAGCAATGATTTTGTAATTAACTACCTAACTTGGGAGGGACTGGAAAGCGTTATGCTGAGTGAACTAACTCAGTCCCATAAGGACAAATACTGTATAAAACTACTATTGTAGAGTAAGTACGGGAGGAGGGGGAAGGCAGATGAGTAAGGATGGGTTGAGGGGTGAGGTGTTAATCACAGGGTAGCACAATTTGATAGGTGGGTGGGGGTGAAGGAAATGAGAAGGATCTTGTGTGAAAAACAATGTTTTGAAACTTTGTAAATAAAATAGTATTAAGAAAAAGAGAAAGATTTGTGGACACACAGACACATTCAGAGGGCAGACGGAGGCAGAGGCAGCTGTGACGTGGCTGTGAGTCAAGGAACGCCAAAGACTGCCAGCAAGGACCGGAAGCAACAAGAAGGCTGGAGGACACCTCCCTCAGGAGCCTTAATTCCAGGCTCTGCGCTTCCAGAATTGTGACAGAATAAATTTGTTCTCATAAGTTTCTAGTCTGTAGCAGAAACCACAGGACATGAATACACATCCCGACAGTGTGAGCAGATCCCACAGAACCTCCCCAGTCATCTCACCCTTACCCTACAGCCAGACTTGGAAGATACAGTTTGGAGGACAAGGCTTGCTCACTCAAGAGCCCTCAGTGGCTCCCCATAGCCACAGACAAGCCTGAACCCTATGAGGCCCCGCAAGTCTAGACTGCGAGAGTCTGCGGGACCTTTGCTTCCAGCTGCCAGAAGGTGTGCAGAGTGAGGCGTCAAGAAGGGCGCTTACCTTTGGCGTAGGTGCTGACGAGGGTGGCGAAGTTAGCAAGGAGGGTGAGAGGGGAGAAGTCGGCCAGGTCGGCGATCTCCAAGGTGTGCAGGAGGGACCGCAGGCGCTCGGCGCAGAATCTGGGGGGGAAGGCAAGCTTTGGTGGGGGCTGGAGAGTGGACACAAGGGGTGAGCAGGCCCAGCCTCCCCCATCTCTGTCAGACAGGTGGGCACATGCCAGTCTCCCCAGGTACCAGGTACTCTGTGAGGCCAGAGTGTTGTGTTTCAGTCACGGTACAGCTGTCCCTGACACACAACAATGCCCCCTTCCCTCTCTCCTCCCAGTGAGGTCACACAATCTGATCACCTTTAAACATTTTATGGGGAAATGTTTAGCCATTAAAACTTAAGGTCCTGCTCACTGCAGAGACCCAGGGACACTTGTCACCTGCCGGGGCCACAATCGCACCTGAGGGGCTTCCGCTCGATGCACACGCGCTGGGCCAGGCCGCTGAGGAAGGCTGGGGGGCTCTCCTGCACCACGTGCTGCACACGCAGCCGCAACTTGACGTATTCCAGCAGCCGCCGCAGGAAGCCCAGGAAGTGCTCTGCTGTGCGGATGGAGCCGGGGACAGCCTCTGCGGGGACAGCAGGGTCAGCGGCTGGGGAGCTGGGGGGCGGGTAGGGGACCATGGGGGACAGCAGGGTCAGCCGCTGGGGAGCAGGTGGGGGACCATGGGGGACAGCAGGGTCAGCAACCGGGAGGCTGGGAGGGGCACTGTGGGGAAAGAGGATAGCAGGGTCAGGAGCTGGGGGGCGGGGGAGAGCAGGGTCAGCAGCTGGGGGGCTGGGGGTGGGCGGGGCAGAGCAGGGTCAGCAGCCAGGGGGTCTGGGGGGGTACTGTGGGGGACAGCAGGGTCAGCAGCCGGGAGGCTGGGGGATGGGCGGGGGCACTGCGGCGACAGCAGGGCCTCACCCTTCAGCACTTCATCGGGCAGCACGGGGTTGGCCAGGTGGGCATCCGTCTCCCGGGCGATGCTGGCCTCGCGCAGCCCCTCCACCAGGCGCCGGTACTCCTCCCGCAGGCGCTGTTCATCCGTCTCCTTGATTCTGAGCACGGTCTTCTGCAGGGTCTCCAAGTTGCCCTGGCAGCGGTCCAGGGTCCGGCGGGTGATGTTGACGCTCATGGAGTCGATGCAGACGTTGTCGATGTTGTGGGCCTCGTCGAAGACCACTACCGCCTTGCGGGCCAGCTCCTTGGACACCAGGTCGGCGATCTTGGGGTCCAGCAGGTAGTGGTAGCTGTAAACCACCACGTTGGCGTGCAGGATCTAGCAGCAGGGGTGTGGGTTACCCAGGTACCCTGACACTCCCATCCTGGGCCCACCTGTCCTTCACCCCCATCCCCCTACCCTGTGACCGCCCCCATAAGGAGAGACAAGACCCAGATAGCTAGACAGACAGACAAGAGGCAAATAAAACAGAGAGACAGATGGACATCTGAGACGGGCATGGAAAAGCATACAAAGCGGCACACACACAGGCGATGTAAGGACAGACTGACAGACAGACAGGTGCATGGAGAAAGAAAGAGGGTGAGCGAGGAAGAGGGAGACTGACAAGCAGATGGAAGACAGACCCAAATAGACAGACAGACAGATACAGCATGCCGACCAATTCACAGGCAGTCAGAGAGAGGCAGACACAGGTGGACAGACAGACACTCTCTCACAGGTAGATACAGATAGACAAGGCCAAGTGGTCAATACACAGACACAGACACACACACACACACACAGATCCAGGTTAAGATGAGGTGCAGGAAGTCCTCCTCCCACCTGCCCCCCCTGTAACCCCACAGCCTTCTCACTGAGTAGCGGGCGAGGAAGTAGGGGCACCAGCCATGGCGTCGCCCCACGGCTTTCAGGTCATCCAGGTTGTAGATGCCAGAAGGGAGGGGCACCTGGCGCCCGTGAACGTCGAACTCCTCGTAGAAGCGACAGTGCGGCATGCTAGGGTCCTGCTGGTACTGGGCCCGCACGTACGAGGCTGTGAGGCTGTGGCACTTCCCATCCACATCCTTCCCGAAGCGGAGAGGCGTCACCTGTATCCACGACGGTTACAGAGAGGAGGTAATGTGGATGTTAACTCATGAAAACTCCAACCTAATTAGGGCACTATCTTAACTTCAATGAGGCTCTAAACACCCCAGACTTATCGGTGAACGGCAACATAAAGATTTAATAAAAGAATGTTGCAGGAAAAGTCATGAATCAAAGTATGTATGGATTTGTCTACGGCCGTAACACCCTGAATGCGCCCAATCTCAGAAGCTAAGCAGGGTTGGGCCTGGTTAGTACTTGGGATGGGAGACCGCCTGGGAACAATGGGTGCTGTAGACTTATTAAATTGGAAGAATCTGTTCTGAAAAATATAGTATTTGAATTTTATAAATAAATTAGTATAATAATAATACCAAAAAAAATGTTAGTGAAATACACCTAAAAAAAAAAAGTATGGGTTCTTGCATGGAAAGTCAGTCTGCTTTGTAAATTCTCACCCAAAATGAAAAAAAATTTTGAGGGAGGGAAAAGGAGATGAGGTTCTCTAAAACAAAAAGGAGAGATGGAAATTCAAGGACGGGAGGCCAGAGTGGAAATCGACAGAATGGCAATGCTTTGAGCAAAATGCAACTACTGTCGCTGAACAATTCCTGCCGAGATCATCAAATGGGAACCTGACCTGTGGGTAAATGTTTTAAAAAAAATAATAATTTAATTTTAAAAATGGCCAGGAAAGCAGGCTTGGTTGACACCAAGAGTTGCTTCTTTCAATGTCACCTCGGCTGAGAAGCAGGAAGCTCTCCCAGAGGCCTCCAGTTCTCGTCAAGCTGCCGTCACGGAATACTTAAATGTGTTAGGTCAGGGTACTTGCCTGGGCCATGAGTGACAAGCGAGAAGGGAAGTACGTGTAAGAAGGCCCCGAGTATCTCCCCTGCACTGGGGATCTCGGGCTCCTAGTCGGAGGGAGTCTTTACGGGCAATGCCAGGAATGGGTGCTCACCTCGGGGTGAATACACAGGTTCTTGCGGGAGCTCAGGGCCAGTCCCAGGAACTGCAGCTTCTCTCCCTCCTGCTTCTCGTAGAAGTTCAGCAACTTGCGCAACTCTTCAATCACCTGCTCCAGACAGGGGAGACATGTGGCCTCACGGAAGCCTGAGCCTCTGCCCAGACTCTTTCTCAACGTCCAGACACCCTCCCAAGGCAGGTGAGGGTGGTCACAGGGGGTCCAATGCAGCAGGATGTGTCAGGGAGTGAGGGAAGTGGAATCCCACTTCTGACACCTCTTGATGACAGGGTTTACCAAGATGGTTCATTTTATGAGCGAACCTGAGCAGGCCTACTTCCTGTTGGGCATCAAACACGCATCAAGCTGCTATGTGCTTAGGTGAGCGGGGCGTGGGTAGGGCAGATGAGATTCCATCACAGAATCTCATGAAATGAAATCGATGTAACATGATGTGATTAAAGCCAGGACCAGTTCTGAGTCACAATGATCCCCACTTGTGTCAGAGTAGGACTGGGCCCCACAGCGCTTTCAATGATTGAGTTTTGAAAAGCAGACTGACTGCCAGGCCTTTCCTCTGAGGTGTATCAGAGTTGACTTGAAACACTAACTTTTTGGTTAGGAACTTGAGTGAGTTAACTGTTTTGCTACCAACCAGAGATTCCTAATATAAAGTAATGATCTTCTATGATGTAACCCAATAACATGTAATAGCTGTGGACAGCGCCCTCAAGTGGACTCTGTCTCACAGCGATCCTGTGTATGACAGAACGAAACACCTGCCCTGCTCCATCCTCACAGCTGTTGCCAACTTTGAGCCCAACTTTGTGGCAGTCACTGTGTTGCTCCATCAAGTTCAAGGTCTTGCTCGTGCTCGCTGACTCTCTGTTTAAGCACAATATCCTTCTCTAGGGACTGGTCCTTTTTGGCAGCATTTTCAAAATTAAGTGAGATGAAGTCCTGCCATCATTGCTTCTGAGAAGCATTCTTCTAAGTCCTATTTGTTCTTCATGAACAGATCTAGTGGTCTGTGGTATATTCCATATTCTTTGCCAATATCATAATTTAAATGCATCAATTCTTCTTGTCTTATTCTCCAGCTTTCACATGCACGTGAGGGGATTAAAAATTATCATGCATTGGGTAAAAAGGGCACACTAAAGTCCTCTAAGTGGCAGCTATGTTTTTATTTTATTATTTTGTGTGTGTGTACCACGACTGCCCCTCCTTCTCCAACAGAGCATCTGGTGGATCCGAACTGTATACCTCTGGGACTGCAGTGCAGGTTCTTGCCACTAGACCACCAGAGCTCCCTGACAGCTATGCTTTTAAACACTTTAAATATATATCTGCTGTCAGGGACCCTTCCAAAGTGCTAAAGAGCAATGATGTCAGTCTAGAGAGTAAGGTGCACCCGATCCAGGGCATGGTCTTCACAATTACTTGGTAGGCTGGACAATGACTAAGGATGACAGAAGAATCAATGCCTTTTGAGCTGTGGTGCTGGAGAAGAGTACTAAACATACTACGGACTGCCAAGAGAATAAACAGGTCTGTCTTGAAGAGGGTGAAACCAAGCTGCTCCTTGGAGGCAAGGATTTTGAAGCTCCGTCTCACAACAGTTTGGGCACATGGCCAGGAGGGACCAGTCCTTGAGAGATGGACATCATGCTTGGAAGGGAGGAAGGACAGCACAGGAGAGGAAGATCTTGCATGGGATGGACGGATACAGCAAACTAGGGTAAAGGGGGTAGATGCGTCAGAGACAGGTGTGCCTGAGATTGGCTCAGGACAGGGCCGGCTTCAGAGCTGTTTTACATAGGCAACTTGATGGCACATACCAACAAAAACAACAAAATAAAATATTGTTGTCACTGTTGGGTGTTGTTGAGTAAGAACTAACTCACAGCTGACCCTCCACCAGGTTTTCAAAGACTGTAATTGCTCGGGAGGAGATAACCCATCTTTGTCCCTCGGAGCAGCTGGTGGGTGGATTTGAACCATGTGCCTTTAGATTGAGAGTGTAACACTCTACATGCTAGGCCACTAGAGCTTCCTATACGTAATATTAGGTAACGCAATTAAAGCCAGAACCAACTGTCCAGCTGAGCTCAACTCATGGCAACGCCATGTGTGCCGACAAAGAACTCTGCACCTGAGGGTTTTCAGTGTGGATTTCTCAGCGGCAGGTCACCAGGCCTTTCCTGTGAGGCCTCCTGGGGTGAACTCAAAACATTAAGCTCTCAGTTGGAAGTCAGGGATGTCAACACAGAGAGATTCCTAATATTTAAAATTATGCCATAATTTAAATGCATCAATCATCTAATGTAATGTTATCAACAAACAGAGGTCTTATTAGGGAATGACAGAGCACAAATTCAATCACTTCTGAGCTACTAAAAGACCAGAGCAGGCACAGTAGCACATATACACAAAGTGAAACACAGGTGACAGGTGAGTATCACCTGTAAGTAGAAGAATGCCAAGAATAATATGCCAGGGAAGAGCTATTAGAAGAGAACATCCTGGGAGCTCTGGTGGCCTAGTGGCAAGAGGCTGCACTGCAATCCCAGAGGTATGCGGTTCAAATCCACTAGATGCTCTGCTGGAGAAGAAGGGGGCAATCTCCTCCTGTACCAGTCAGACCTGATTTGACGGTACACGTAAAAATAATACAATAAAAAAAAAAAAGAAGAAGAAGAAAACATCCCCAGCACTGCCACTACTGGGAATACACCCTAAAGAATCTAGAACTGCCTGCAATGCAAACAGATACATGCACATCCATGTTAACTGCTGTGTTAATTACAATAGCAAAGAGACAGAAGCAACCCAAGTGCCCATCAGCAAATGAATGGATAGAAAAACTACAGTATATTCATATAATGGAATACTAGGCAGCACTGAAAAACAACAAACTCATAAAACATTACACAGCATAGGTGACCCTGCAGGACATTATGCTGAGTGAAATATCTCAGTCACAACAGGACAAATACTGCACAGCATCACTGTTATAAAGCAGGTCTGACAGGGGATGGGGGAGAGATAATGTATTGTTACAGATGAAGGAAAGAACTATTTAAAAGGAATATATGAACTGGTATAAAGTTAAAAATAATTAAAAAAATGACTGAAAGAAAGAAAGAAAGAAAAGAATATATGATGAGGCATTATACCAACGACAAAAGCCCAGAATACACCAGATGCTCTGCCGGGGAAGGAGGGACAATCCTCCTGTACCAGTCAGATCTGATTTGACGGTACACACACAAAAAAATAATAAAATAAAAATTTTTTTTAAAAAAAAAAAAGAGCCCAGTACATTGCAAAGAGAGCTGGCGGGTGGGGGAAGGGCGGTAACCGTGCAACACTGAATAAATATTTAAAAAAAAAAGAACTGGAGGATGGTGAAGGGAGGGAGAGGGGCTAAAACGTGTAACAATGAATGAATGAAATATCTAACTTTTCTGTAAACTTTCGTTACAATCACAATTAAAATATTATTAAAAAAAATAAAAGAAGATCACAGGAAGGACTGACAAGGCTGAGGTTGTGGTTTGGCCTTTCAGCCTCCAGAACTACAAGAAAAAGGAGTGTCTGTTCCTCCAAGTCACCCCCCTTGTGGTGTTTCTCTTACAGCAGCGCTAGGAGACTAAGACACCCCTCAGGCTTACTTACCTTCTCGATCTCGGGCACGGTCCGCGAGCAGTAGATGAGTTTGGTCACGTCCAGCGGGTACGCCCGCTGATACGCCACGATCAGAGATAACAGTGACACTGTCTTCCCAGTGCCCGAGGGCATCTCCAGGACTCCATGACCCTGTGTTGTGGGGGGAGGGAGAAGACACAGACTCTCAGGACCCTGAAGACACAAACTCTTGTGAGGTTACCACCAACCCTTCTTCTCCGAGAGACTCGTCACCAGCACAGTAGTTAACAGTTTGGGTGCTAAGAGGTAGGTAGGTTGGGATTGAGGAAGATGAATCCCATTCTATCCCCTCTTTATTCAGTAGTTTTAGCCAAGTGCCTTCACGTTCCCGAATTCATCTCTAAAATGGGTCTAATGAGAAGGCCTTGCTCATACTAGGACTATGCGATCAACGGGGAACTGTGAGCTGAAGATTTAGCATGTTATCAGAGACATAATGAACCCATTTTCCTCTTAACTCAGCAAGTACTTCCATAGCAGTTTTTCTTAAGTCTCTCGTATCACGCTCTACAGATATTTGGGGCTGGAGAATACTTAGTTTATGGGGCAGCTGTCCTCATAACACAGAATGTCTGGAAGTATCTCTGGCTTCTACCTATTAGGAACTAGGAACACACACAATTCATGTTTTGCTGCTGTTTTTATGGCTTTGAATTGGAACCAATTCACAGCCAATCCTCCAGCGGGTTTCCTACAAGGGTAAATCTCATGAGAGGAAAGTGCTCATCTTCCTCCCCAAAAGCAACTGGTGGATTCAAACGGTCTGCCTTTGGGTTGTAAGCACAAGTCCTTACCCACTAGGCCACCAGAGCTCTGCTGTTATTAGGTGCTGTCAAGCTAACTATGAGTCAAAGCACCTCTATGAACAACAGCTCTGAACCCTGTCCTATCCTGTGCCAGCCTCATCATCTCTGACACATTTGAGCCCATTGCCACAGTCACTGTGTCAATCCATCTTACTGGAGGTCTCCCTCTCACTCTAACGAATAGCATCTCCTAGCATCATGTCCACAGTACATAAGAGGAAGCCAAACACTCTGTGAGGGGTCAAAACTCACCCCGCCTTATTTATCCTAACTCATTTAACCTCCACAACAACCATGAAGTTGTTGTTACGTGCCATCGAGTGGCTTGCGAATCACTGCGGCCCTATAGACAACAGCTCTGAAACCTGCTCTATCTTGAGTCAAGCTCATTGTCTGACACATCTACCCCCCATTACCCTAGTCACTGAATCAGCCCATCTCATTCAGAATCTTCCTCTCCTGCGCTGTCCCTCCACCCTCCCAAGCATGATGGCCTTCTCTAAGGTCTGGTCCCTCCTTTCAACATGCCGAAAGTATGTCAGATGGAGCTTCAAAATGCTTGCCTCCAAGGAGCAGCCTGGTTTCACCCTCTCTAGGATGAACCTGTTTGTTCTCCTAGCAGTCCATGGTATATTCAATACTTTTCTCCAGCACCACAATTCAAAGGTATTAATTAATTTTCTCATTCCTAGTCTTTGTCTAGCTTTCTGATGCACAACAATTGTGAACACCATGGCCTAGATCAGGCGCATCTTAGTCTCTAGACTGAAATATTTGCTTTTCAGTACTCTGGAGAGGTCCCTGACAGCAGATATACCAAAGCAACTCGTCTTCTGATTTCCCGGCTGCTGGTACTAAGAGTACTAAGAGTGTTGATTGTGGAGCCAAGCAAGTTGAAGCTATTAACTATCTCAATCTCTTCACTGTCCATAATGATGCTGCCAACTGGGCCAGAGGTAAGGATCTTTGTTTCCTCGATGCTAAGGTTCAATCCATATTGAAGGCTGCAGTCATTGACCTTCTGCAGCAAATGCATTAGGTCCTCCTCAGTTTCAACAAGCAAGGTTGTGCTGTCTGCATAATGCAGGCTGTTGATAAGGCTTCCTCCAGTCCTAATGTCACATTCTTCCTCATAGAGCCCAGCCTCCCAGATGACCTGTTCCACATAGAAGATGGAAGGAGTACACAGAGTCACTATACTAAAAAGAATTGACTGATACAGAAGAATTTAATGAAACAACGCATGAAACAAGGCAACGGTGATGAAGGACCTTCAAGCTGCTCTGAAGGAATTGGCAAAAATGAGGCCCCAGAAATTGACAGCATAAAAATTGACATATTTCAACAGGCACTGCCCTGTACATGCTCATCAAGTTATGCCAAGAAATCTGAAGGACAACCACCTGGCCAACTGACTGGAAGAGATCCATATTTGTTCCCATTGGAAAAAAAAAAGAAAAAAAAGATGACCTCAACTATGAGATATCATCTCACCTCAGTAAGAATTGCAAAATTCAACAGAGCAGCAAACAACAAATACTGGTGAGGTTGTGGAGAAACTGGAACCGATTCATTGTCGGTGAGAGTGTAAAATGGTGCAACCACTATGGAAGGGGAAAAAGTTGGAAACAGAAACACCATCTGACTGAGCAATTTCAGTAATGGGAATATAGAACTAAAGAAACGAGAACTGCCACCCAAGCGGATATACGCACACTCATGTCTATTGCTGCTTTGTTCAAAATAGCAAAGAGTTGGAAACAACCCAAGTGTCCATCAACAAACAAATGGATAGAGTTGTGGTACAGTCACACAATGGAATATTATACAGCACTGAAAAACAAAGAACTCATGAAATATTATACAAAATGGGTGGCCCTGGAGGACATTGTGCTGAGTGAAATATCTCAGTCACAAAAGGACAAATACTGCATAATGTCACTATTATAAAACAGGACTGACATGGGGGTTGGGAGAAACTAAGAAAAGAGGGGATAAATAATGTACACGGCATTGAAACAGATGATGGAGAAAACTGTTTAAAAGGAATATACGATTAGCTATTATTGGCATGACAAGGATTCAGAATAAGAGCTGCATAGTAAAGTGCACTGGGGGGATTGCATTAACAATGAAAGAATTTTTTTTCAAAGAAAAAGTGAACTGGGGGGCAGGGAGGAAAATGTGCAACAATGAATGAATGGAAATCTAAGTTCTCCATAAACTTTCATTAAAATCTCAAGTAAACAAACTTTAAAAAAGTGACCCGATAGTCTGTGAAAATTATCAAACAATATCATTAATATCACATGCAAGCAAGATCCTGCCGAGAATTATCCAAAACGACTGGAACAGCACAACAGAGAACTGCCACGTGTGCAAACTGGATTATAGAAGAGGCCATGGCACAAAGGACATTCTAGCCAATGTTAGACGGATTTTAGCTGAAAGGAGAGAATACCAGAGGAATGTCTATCTGTGTTTCATTGACTATGCAAAAGCATTTGACTGTATGGATCACAACAAACTGGTGAACACTGAGAAGAATGGGAATCCCAAAACACTTGATTGTATTTATGAGAAAACTATACTTGGACCAGGAGGAAGTCATCAGAAAGAGCAAGGAAACAGTGCACAATTCAAAACCAGGAAAAGTGTATGCCCGGGGTGCTTCCTATCTCCATACCTATGAGGTAGACGAAATTAAAACTCATGTTCCCCCCTACAAGAATCTGAGTAGAACTGAGTTCTACAGGATCTTCCACAGCTGGTTTTGAGGAAGTAGATCGCCAGACCTTTCTTCCAAGGCAACTCTGGGTAGATCTGAAGCTCCAATTTTTCCATTGGTGGCCAAGCACGTTAACCAGTCACACAGAGATTCCAAGTCCTATTACTATACAGTGGCTGAACCCTTCACTGCTAAGCACAAGGCAGACAGATCAAACCCACTTGTCATTCTGAGGGAGAAAGATGCAGCAGTCCATGTCTGTAAAAATTCAACAACTCATTGTTGTCAAGTTGAACTCAACTCACAGCTGAGCCTGCAGCACAGTTTCAGAAGCTTTGGACGGCCTAAGACTGTCCATTTTCCTCCAATGGAGCTGGAAATGGATTCAAACCACTTATTTTGGGGTTAGCAGTGCAACTTCCACCCCACTAAAGCCATCAGAACTCCTTCTGTAAAAATGACAGCTTTGGAAATCCCACGGGTCACTTTTACTCTGTCCTATAAGGGTCACTATGAATAGAAAGGGACTTGACGGCAATGGGTTTGGTTTGTTTGAAGTTTTAACAGAGGAGGAAACTGGATACAAGAAGTTCATTAATTTGCTCAAGGACACACAGTCAGGATGGATTGTGAATCTGGGATTTTACCTCCAAAGTCTATGTACCCCTACCAATTAGGATGTTTGGTCTTTTGTACCGTCAAGTTAGAACCAACTCATAGTTGACCCTTCAGCAGGTTTTCAGAAGCGGCAAATCAAATGGGAGGGAAAGGCCCATCTTTCTCCCACAGAGCCGCTGGTGGGTTCAAACTTTTGGGCTGGCAGTGCAATTCTTTACCACTGAAGATTCTCACCACTGGGCCAATTGGCAGTACCATGACAGATGGAGAAGAGACTGAGGTGGTCTACAATTTCAGTTTGCTTGACTCCACAATCAACACTCTTGACACCAGCAGTCAAGAAATCAAAAGATGAATTGCGTTGGGGAAAGAAGCAGGGACCTTTCTCGAAGCTCTTAAAGAGATGTTAATCTACAGATTAAGGTGTGCCTGATCCAGGCCAGAGTCTTTGCATTAACTCGCTATGTATCAGAAAGCTGGAGAAGACTAAGGATGACAGATGAAGAATCAATGTCCACCAGATGCTCTGCTGGAGAAAGAGGAACAATCGCCTCCTGTACCAGTCAGATCCAATTTGACGGTACACACATTAAAAAAAAAAATAGGTGGCTGCGTGTTTCCGGAAGACGTGGCGGCTCTCGCCTGGGTGGCTTCCTGAATTCGTTTCTCCCGATTCAGCTGCTTATCCTGCCATCGACTTGGTGCAGCCGCCGCATCTTCTCCCGCCGTTGACCTCACCACCGCAGCCATGATCTCCTTAACCGACACCCAGAAAATTGGAATGGGATTGACAGGATTTGGAGTGTTTTTCCTGTTCTTTGGAATGATTCTCTTTTTTGACAAAGCACTACTGGCTATTGGAAATGTTTTATTTGTGGCTGGCTTGGCTTTTGTAATTGGTTTAGAAAGGACATTCAGATTCTTCTTCCAAAAACATAAAATGAAAGCAACAGGATTTCTCCTTGGTGGTGTCTTTGTGGTCCTTGTTGGTTGGCCTTTAATAGGCATGATCTTCGAAATTTATGGGTTCTTTCTTTTGTTCAGGGGCTTCTTCCCTGTGGTTGTTGGTTTCATTAGAAGGGTACCAGTCCTTGGGTCCCTCTTGAATCTACCTGGAATTAGATCATTTGTAGATAAAGTTGGGGAAAGCAACAATATGGTATAACAACAAGTGAACTGAAGACTCATAAAATATTGTATTATTTATAAAATCCTCTGAAGAATATTCAGCACAAAACTAAATTACATGAAATAGCTTGTAATGTTTTTTACAGAAGTTTAAAATGTATAGCCTACAAAGTACCAACAGCAATTAGGAAAGGAGCAAAAACAGGTTTGTAACCCAGTGATCTAAGAAGTCAGCGAGCAAAGGGAAGGAGGTGAAATCAGCGTTACAATCCATACTGAAACTCTTGAAGGCTATTATTGTTTTTTCCACAATGTGTGAAACACAGCCATCCTTAGAGAATTGTGCCTGTTCCTTTTCTTTTTATATTTTGAAAGTGTGGGAACACCCATAGGCATTGCTGTTTAGCTTTGTCCACTGCACTGTATCTCTGAAAGTGATGGATGAGGTAGATTGGATTATGTCATTTTAAAACTTGGAAGAACAGTTTTTGGTTTTTAATCACCTTTTTTTTAAATGTGGTTAAAATATAACCTTTCTAGTTCTTCTGAATCTTAATGTTTTAAAGCCAGATGCAAATCTGAACTAGATATTCTGTTAGAATATGAAAAGGTCATGTTTTTTAGTTCCTGTATTTATAGCTGGCTATGCACTTTTTTGGTCAGCACACACTCTGGAAATACTCATGCTTATTGAGAGTCCAGCCTCCAAGTATCTGCCTGTTATTGTTCACTTAACAAAGAGCGCTCTTGACTATAAAGTAATCTGTTACAAGAGTTGTATCGATGAAGTCTTTTATTTAAGGTACTAAATGGTGCAAAGAAAATGTGTCTTTCAGTGTCATGATGTAGTTTTTCTTTTTTAAAATTTCATTTTCTTTTTCATATATTAAAATAACTATTGGCATTGTTTACTTTAAAATATGTAACTTCTTAAAAGGTTAAACTTAACATCTTTTTTTAAAGGGCTGTTCATCCAAGCTGTTTTCCTTTTATATCTTCAACCTTTTCATAAATAAAAATCAGTATGTATGATACATGCTTCATGTGAGCACTCTTCATCTGGAAATGGAGAGCATTTCTAAGATTACATATGGACGTTATTTTACTCTCATTAAACTGACTCTAGATTCTTAAAAACAAGAAAAAAAAATGCTGGGGTCTTGGCGATCTAGATGTCCTTTAAGCTCAGTTTTGGACTCACGAGGGGCAGCCCTCCCTGCAGAGTGGTCAGCGGCCGCGGGACCCACCTTGGCGTCCAGCGTACGTTTGAGCTCCAGCATGTAGGAGAACTGCTCCGGGTAGATGTAGTCGTAGGGGAAGTAGACCAGCAGCCCGTCCACGTTGAGCCTGGAGGCAAAGTCGGCTGAGTCGCCTTCCCAACACTCCCTCTAGCCCCCCACTTCTCCAGTCCCCGTGACCCCTATCCTACGTCTTCCGGATGAGAGCAGTTACCTGCCGGTCCTCCCGGGTATCCCTCCAGTTCCTAAGCAGCCGCCGGGTCTCCCCATTGGCCATCCCGTTACCGCCCTGCCAGTCCCCAAGCCTATCCCATTCCTCCTCTTCAAGCTCCCCTCGCCCTACAGAGAAGCCCAGGAGAACCCCAGATCCCCCCATCTCTCAGCCCCCTGCTCCCGTCCTCCAGCAGCTGCCCCCGGGTTCCCGACCCACTTCATGGCGTCGACCTCAGGGTGCAGCAGCTCCCACCACCTCTTTCATGAATACTCAACGAGAGGCAAGCTCGCAAGGACGCTTCTGCTTCCTTACGATATTATTGGTTAATTCCACTCCGGGTGGGAGGAACCAATAGAAATACCGTGCGTGCGTATGACGACAACTAGGCGGGCTTCGGCGAGCTAGAGGTGCTGGAGGCGTGGCTGATGAACGCCGAGTACCGAGATCAAAACATGAAAGGAGGAAAGCCGAGAGAATCGATGCTGTTCAATCAATCAGCTTCTTACCTGCCAAGTTTCATCGTTCACAACGGAGGATGGAGGCTGACTTTACCGCATCAAACAAACTGCCGCCTTGTGTTGTTATCCTGGGAGATATCCATTTATTGTTGTTAGGTGTCATTCATTGAGTCCACTACTATGAATCACCGTGACTTTGTAAACAGATCACCTCCACCTTGCCCCATCCTGAGCCATCCTCGAGCCATGCTCAAGCCCACGGTTACAGCCACCCATCCTGTCCTTCTCTGACTCTACCTTTCCCAGCATAATGTCATTTTCCAAGCCCTTGCTCCTGCTGGCAGCATACCCTAAGTAAGTGAGACCAAGTTTGACCATTCTTACCTCTACGTAGCATCTTAGTTGCGCATCTTGTAAGATTTGTTTGTTCTTTTCGAAGTCCTTGGGATATTTAATACTCTTCAACACCACAATTCTTTTTTTAAATTTA